TTCCTTTTTTTTTTTTTTTTTTTTTTTTTTTTTTTTTTTTTACAACAAATTGCTTCGTGCAACAATATGTTTTTGAGTTTTTTTAATAGAAGCGACATAAAACTCAATACCTACTTCTTTTTCTCTTTCTCAACTACGATCTAGTCTAAGAAGAGTCAGAGATACGCTGAACAAAAGATTGAAACTTATGTTTCTTTCATATGTTTTCCTTTTTTACGATTTTTTTTTTGTTTTGTTAAAAAGTATTGCAACACGGAAGGAAATGGTTAAGACAAACGGAGAAATATTTTTTTATTAATCGATATAACAGGGCCGATAGTCGTCCCTTCGTCGAGGGGCCTCTCGTTTGTTATTATTTTTCTTTTGTTTTTGTATCTGGCTGATCTTTAGACGTTTCATCATACAAAGTGTATTTTAGCACCAATATAACAAATTTTATTTAGAAGAATAGAAAAAAAAAAAAACAAGAAAACCGATTGAATGAGTCACGTGACACAACCTAATTTTATTTTGGAAATATTATTCTGATAATCAGATGAATATTACATCTCTATTTTGTTTTTTTCTTTTTTTTATGATGATTCATAAACACATGGCATAAATAATTGATTTGCGATATAGTTTGAAACATATTTAATAAGGAATAATGTTTGGTTATATTCACGTGAAATTGGACATAAACACACAGTACTACTTATATTTCATTGCATTATTTATGAATCAATAGACTAATATACTTAATAATTATTAGACTAATTATTAACCTAGGATTGTGATCACCCATCAACGTCAGCCACTACCTAAGCAACATTCCTTCTTTCTTTTTAGATATTACGAACGAAACAGAGAGAGAGAAATATAGATTATATACATATAAAAAATTTTCTTTGTTCCTCTCTTTCGTTCGCTCTCTCTCTCGATTCAAAAACCCGGAACTCCCGATGAGACGTCTCAGAACATGACCGATCAAGACTGCACCAAGAATTCTCATATTTTTTATTCCTAAAGCTAAATCTAAAAAAAAAAGAAGAAAGAAAAAAGAAAAAAAAAAGAAAAAACAAACACTTCCATACACGAATTTTGCATTTCTTTTTTAAGTAAATTAATAAACATAAGATAAAATAATAATAAACCGTAATAGATAATAATAAGGTAATAAGTAAGCTGGCAGCAGTTAGAACCAAATATATTCTCGATTAAAACTCTCGCTTAGATGACAATCTGACATGGCACTAACATCCAAAAATTTTCTCAAAGCATTCGTACACGCGGCACGCACTCTAATTTCTATTTCTTTGTTTGTTTTTCTTTTTTTACTTTTCGTTTTAATCTTTCTTTTCTATTTATGTTTCATTCTTCCTTCGGAAAATTTCGTCTATAACTTTCGGCGATCCTATATATTTGCATATCATGTACAAACCAATTTTTTTTTTAAATTTTCATTCTCTCATGTTTTTCTTTTCTATCTCTCTCGCATAAATTCATACTTTCATTCTTAACTGTTCTAACACATTTACTACAGTTTCTTTCTCTCTCTTACTCTCATACTCTTTCATACTAATTTCCTATTCCCTTTCATTCACAATCCTTACATTCATCCGTCTCGCCCCTCGACGTGCAATCAGCTGCCAGATAATTTATCTCGATTTTCTCCGTTTTTTTTGTTTTATATTCTGTTTTGTTTATATAGTTATATAACCATTTTCCCAACGATCTACGCACTAAATAGTTCAAATTTTTTGCACTTTTTCACCAACAACAACTGGATTGTTGCGCCGAATCTCTTGAGCGCCCATTTCTCTATAATCAAATTTGCAATCATGCTTGTCACTGTATCGATGCACAGAGCAGAACAGTCCTCCACAACGACATTCAAATCCTGTTAAAAGATCAAATTATAAATTAGTAAAATTAATTTAAAATATTTTCCTCAGTTTATGATATACATACCCGTCAGACCAACTTTTTTGCGACACACGGCGCAACGATTTTTCTTCTTCTTAGATTCTTTGTCAGTCTCTTTGCCATCAAAGCAATCATCTGCATCCCCACTACTCACAGATCCTTCTGCTACCGCTCCACTGCTTACACCTACTTCATTTTCTTGATCCTCCCTATTTATCTGATGAGAAACAGAAATTAAAAATATATAAATTTATAATTACTAAATAATACATTATTATTATTCTTATAAAATTAAATCATGTTAAAACTTTATTAATAATTTCTAATTTTCTTTTTTTAATTACATCCAAATTTAAAATAATACTATTAATATTTTGATAATTTATTTTTATAATTTTTGTATAAATTTAATTTATGCAAAACTTACTTCTTTGGGATTGGGTAGATCTGTTGTTGATTGAGGTATGGTAGGAATGGTAGGTTGGGCTGTATTTCCTGTAGCTGCAGGACTACCGAAACCGCCCTGCAACGTACCAGCGTTACCAGAGACGGTCTGTGATGTTGGTACAGTGGCAGCTGATACAGGAGGTTGCTGCTTCTTTTTTAGATTTTCTTTATAACAAAGAGAACAAAGGCCATCTGTGGCTGGAGAGCCATAAAATCCACAACCGCTGCGACATAGAGCTTGCATAGGGTTAGATTCTCGCTCCATTTTCTTTGTTTATCTCAATAGAACCTCAATGATTAAACAAGTTCTTATTTTTATCCTATTTGCAATTACTCGAAAGAATATCGAGCAAGTTGCAATCAACTAAGTAGGAGATAATTAATGTTGTCTTGCCACAGCTCGCTCTCCAGTTGTTCCTTCACGACCGCGTGTCACCATACATTCACCTATTAAAAATAGTTATTTAATATTTCTTTGTTTTTATGATATTATTTATATATAATCTTAAATTTAATATTATTCAACAAAATTTAATAAATAAACTAAATCTTTCCACTAAAGTAAAAAAAAAAGAAAACAATAATACATAAAATAATTTTTTTATCTAAAAAAGACAAAACACAAATATTACAATATATATTTTTAAAAATTTTTACATATGCAATTATTATTAAAAAAATGAAATTTATAATAAATTATTTAATTAATGAAAACCGTTTCCAATGCATTAAATCTCATTGACAGTTTTAAAAAAATGAGAAAAATATAATTATCACTACACCATAATAGACACGTTACATTAGATGAGAAACATTGTCAACCACATCCGTGCTGCCTCAAAGAAATCA